AAAGAGAAAGGAACCAGTGAAGAGGGAGAAGGTGGAAGATATGAGAGAGAGAGGAGTGAGATGCACAGCGGAGTGATTTTCTTAACAAAGCGAAGGAGGCTGGGGACTGTACTTGGACCGCTGAGGCTGGGAGAAGAGGCGACGCGGAATTGAAGCAGAGGTTCACCTTGCTGCAGATGTGGAAACAGGAAATGGAGAGAGTTGATATTTAGTGGTATCTCTTTCTGGGTGGAGTAGCAAATTACTTGTCAAGGGTGAGAAAAGATGCAGGGATCTGGGACAGAGAAGTCATGGTTTGGTGCAGCTGTTGGAGAGGTTGGGTTGACAAATGAGGGGTGTGGTGAGAGCTCTGAGTGCCACTCTGAGGGCCACTCTGAGGCTTTGCTCTGCCCTGGTCTGCTGTCAGAGCCGGAAGCCTTCCCTTCTCCATGCTTCTAAATCCAGGCTCTCTTCCTTTCTCCCTCCTAATCTGCCTTTTTTTTTTTTTAATGGTCCACACATAGCAATCATTGCTATGTATCTTACCTTTTTATTTTTTATTTTATTTATTTCTTCCATGAGAGAGAGTGGCAGAGACAGTTACCTCCATTGGGGTCTTCATATCACGATCCATCCCCAGTCTCAGCTGACCTGGAGCACAGACATGCGTGTGTACCCGGCATGCTCTGGGAGGTCCCAGGACCTTCCTCATGTGGGTCCAGTTGTGTTAGTGCTGGGTTCTTTCCTGGTCCTTCTTATGTCTTGCTACTTTTTTAGTAGAGACCAAACTTTGGGGGCAACCTAGAACCACCCAAAGAGCTTTACAAATATCGATGCTCAGGACTGACCTCCAGAACTCTGATTCAGCCTGGGCATCAGCTCCCTTGGTGGCTCAAACCAGGCTGAAAAGCATTAGTTCAACTTTTCTTAAAGGGCCAAAATGTAGATATTTTCCATTTGGGGGCTGCATCCACTGTATTGCAGCAGCTCTGCTGGTACAGCACTGAAGCTGCCGAAGACAATATGTAAAATACAAGCGTGGCTGTGTTCCACATAAGCTTTAGCTATGGAAGCAGGCTGCTGGTGGGCCATGGTTCATGAATCTTCGGTTTAGACCACTGGTTCTCAGACTTTGGAAGGCATCAGAATCTCCAGGAGGGCTTATTTAAATGAAGATAGTTAAAACATAATTCCAGATTCAGTGAAGGCTGGGGTGAACCTGAGAATTTGCCTTTCTACCATGATCACACTTTGAAACCTCCTGGTTTAAACATTCACCATCTCTTACCAAGACCTCGGGCAAGGCGCTATAGTTGTGTGTTTTTTTTTTTTTTCTCCATTAGGAGTACCTCCTTCCTGTTTAGTCTCTTGCAGGTAGACATCTTTTTTGTTTGTTTGTTTTATGGAGAGATTTTTGTTACAGGGTGCATTCATTTGCCAGAGAGAAAGAGACAGAAAGTGAGAAATCATCCCCCCAAAGGGGGATGGCCATGCTACAATTCCTTCTCCTTCATTCTCCTTTTGGGATCTCAGGCATGCACATGCATCCGCCCACTATGAGTTTAAAGTCACCAGGTCCGGGACTTGAACTATGGCTGACTATGTGGGAGTCCAGTGACATAACTATTACACCATCTGCTTGTCCCCCAGGTTGACATTTTTACAGTAGGAATTTGAGCATATTATCATCCTTCTTACAACCTTTCAGTGTTTCCCATTGTTCCTAGGAAAAACATCAAATTCTACAAAGGATGTCTGATTAGGTGCTGGTGGACCAATCTGTCTACCTCCAATCTTTAAACACGAACTATAGCAATAGCTTGAGTGGACTGGGCTGTGCCATGCCATGCCGTGCCCTAATGTGTTTGCACCTGCTCTTTCCCCTGCCTGGACTGTCCTCCTCAACACTGGCCAACTGGTAAACCCTTCCTCAACTTTTTAAAACTCAGCTCAAGTGACATCTTGTCTAGTATGTCCTTCCTGAGCCCTACCTCCTGCCCAGGCAAAACAGACCATAAACTCTTTTGTGCCTCTGTTTTGTTCACTTAAAAAAAAAAGTTTCTTTCTTTCATGTGAGAGTAAGGAAGTGAGACAAGCACTCTTAACAGTGTCTCATGCTGTGATTCCCTCCCCATCCTTCCCAGCCAGCCAGGCAGAATCATTGGTACATGTGAAGCCTGGTGAGCACAGGTCGACCAGGGATCTGAACCCACGCTTTTTCTATGGGTTCGGCATCACTTGAACAGCATGTTACTGCTGCACCAGGGGGCTGAACCACGGGCGTGGTTTTTAATCTGTTCTTTCTTCCACTAGTCTCATTTTCTGGACTCTGAGTTCCTTGAAGACGTGAATCATGTCTTATTGATCTTAGTATAATAGTCTCTGGCTCATAGGTGTTAAGGAATGTTGAACAATTAATGTTGAACAAAACAACAAATGGATGAATAAGTGATTCTGTGTGGCACCAGTTTAAGCACCTGTAGTATATTGGGTCATCGGGAAAGCCATGACACATTTTCTTTTTTTTTTTTTTAAATAAAGAATTATTTTATTTAACTTTATTTATCCATTTATTTATTTATTTATTTTAATTTCACCTGAGAGAGATAGAGTGAGAGAGTGAGAGAGAGAAAGCAAGCTCTCAGGTCCAGGACTTGAACTGTGGTTGGCCATGTGGGAGTCCAGTGTCAAGTGGGAGTCCAGTGCCCTTAACCACTACTTTACTCGATGGCCCCCATGCTGTTTTGATTATCATAATTTTAGTGCCTTTAACCACCAACCCACCTGCTGGTCCCTCATGACACATTTTTGTATAGAAAAATACATCATTATTTTCCTGACAACCTAATAGATCATGTCAAAGAGCAGGGTGTTGTGCCAGAGAAAATGGAAAGACATGAAAGAATAGGGCCTTATGTGTGACCCTTCTGTCCAGCAGAAGCACAGAAGTACTGCTCGAGTCACAGAGATCTGAGTCAAGGAGGGGAGGGAGAGACGATACCAGGAGTGCTCCTGCTAAGCCTCTCTCACCCTCTACATTTAGCAGAGCAAAAGAGGAGGGAAAATTATTTTAAGAGAAAGTTGTGTCTTACAGGATTAGAAAGATAAGGGTAATTCTTGGAACAGGGCAGTTTCAGTATTGATAAGGGGGATATGGCTAAATGATGCCAGGGGACAGCATACCTTGGAATTTGAAGAACTCATTCAGCAGATCACACAACCCATCTAATGACCTTCTGTCGTTTTTTGAGCAAGAAGGTAAGAGATCAGGTGTTTTTGCCATTTTCCCTACTCAGTATGTCCAAGGTGTTCTAGAAGCATGGCATTTCTGCTCATAGGATGGGTTATTAGAGTGGAAATTGTGAGGGCAGGCAGACAGTTGATGATGAGGTCCCGGGAATGACCATGGGCATGGGTAGCTGGAAAGGACAGCGGTGAGGTCAAGGAAATGGGTGAGACTGTGACATGGCAGTAAAATTTCCCAGAAAGATGCTAGGAATTGAGGTGAAGAGGATTGTCAGTGATGAGCTGGAAGAGCTGGAAGAAATAGCGGAGAAGACAGAAAGCAGGCACCTCGAGTGCTGGCTGGTAGTGCAGCTGCCTGAGTCTCCCAGGCAGCCCTGAGGGCTCAATCAATGGGTGGGATGGTGGTGCAGCCTCCTGGACCTCACCCCTGCAATGCTGGGCATCAGAATCGCATGGGCTCATGAACTTCCGTGGTCAGAGGTTCCCTGGGAGGTCAGAAAGGTCAGCTCTAGGTCATCCACTGCCAGCTTCTGGTTCTCTCTCCTTCCTAACCTCTGTTCCAGATCACCTCCTCCAGCTGATCCTGCAAGGCTGGAAAGTCAACCAGGGAAACCTGTATTACTTTTCTCATGTCAAGAAGACTTGGAACGAGGCAGAGAGATTTTGTGTGTCTTTGGGAGCTCATCTGGCATCGGTGACCTCCAAGGAGGAGCAGGTCAGAACTGTGGGCATGGGGTGGTGCTGATGGAGTTGATGTGAGGAGGGACTTCGGTGCTCTGGCCTCCCAGGATGGCAGAGAACTTCGTGTCTCCGTTATTGGGCAGAGAGCAAATACTGCCTGAGTTCTGATGAGCGCCTTGCACTTGTGGTAGAAGCACTGACAGAAAAACCCGATGTCCCATGTCCTCACTGTATAAGGGAGCTGCCCAGAGGTCCACAGCTGTCAGCAGTGAGGAAGGGCAAAGGGAGATGTCACCATGTGACTGCCCTTACGTGTTGAGAATATGCTTTCCTCCCCAGGCCCTTGTTTTCCTCTCAGGCTTCCTTTCCAGTCATCAATCTTGCCGTAATGTCAGGTAACCTGGGGGCCATGGAGGGCCCATGAACAGGAGACCCAGGCATCTTGGGAAGATCAGACACAGCGATGGGTTTGAGGATCACTAAAGGCAACACATATGGCTCATCTGCCATCATGTCCTTGGCAGAACTTGCCAGGGCTGTGAACGAAGGACCACAGTGCGTTTGGTCCCGCTGAACTGACAGAACTGCCCATGTCTGTGGCTCTCCGAGACTTGTTACAGGTCTGTCAAAGGACATGCTGCCTCGTAAAACACATCTTCTTAATAAGCTGTGTCCAGTAAAGCCACCCCCCTCAATAAGGGCTGGGACTCTTTAAGGACAACCAACATGGGGGTGTTGGACTTCGCTGAGGGGACCCAGCTAGGGGTAGAAATTACCACCACCCCCCCCATGGGGGTTGGCCTTAGATCCTGCCCAAGATCCTGGACACACCATGGAAGATCCAGGGAGGAGTTCCAGCTTCTGCAGAGATGTGGATTTCATGTCCCTGGACTGGGGAGGAAGGGGAGTGCATGGGCTCCTCTCCCATAGGGCCTGGAGACAGCTGCTCACACGCAGGGTCCCACCACAACGCTGCCTTTTCTCCCCAGGCGTTTCTGATCAAGTTCACAAGTGACCTTTACCACTGGATCGGTCTCACGGACAGGGGCACGGAGGGCTCCTGGCGTTGGACAGACGGGACTCCGTATAACCAGGCCCAGAGCAGACAGTGAGTCCAGCCACTATCTGGGGCTGTCCCACGATGCCTGGCTAGAACCTTGTGTGTTTTCCTGTCAGAGCTGGTGTTGTGTGTGTGATGTACGTGTATGTGTGTGTGAGATGTGTGAGGTGTGTATGATTTATGTGCAATGCTTATTATGTGTATGTGATATGTGTGAGGTATGTGTGTGAAGTGTGCGTGTGGTGTTAGTAGTATGTATAAGGGGTGTGATATGTATGTGATCTATATGATGCACGTGGTGTGTGTACATTGTATATATGATGCATGTGTAATGTTCGTGGTGTGTGTGATATATGTGGCATGTGTGATGTGTACATGGTGTGTGAAGTATATATGATTTGCATGTGGTATTTGTAATATGTGTATGATGTGTGTGAGGTATTGAAATGTATGTGGTGTGTTCAATGTATGTAGCATGTGATCTGCATGTGTGGTGTATGTGATGTGTATGTGTGGAAGGTACGATGTATGTGGTGTATACGTGGTGTATGTAGGAGGATGGACACACATACACAGCTGTGGTTTTCTCCTAGACCCCTTTATTTAAAAAAAAAAAATTGCTATAGGGCATGTGTGCATGCCAGAGAGAGAAAGAGAAAGAGAGAAAAAGTGAGAAATCACCCTCAAGGCGGGTGGCCATGTTGCAATCCCTTCTCCTTCATAGTTCTCTCAAGATTTTTGGCTCACACACGTGCCTGACATGTTTTGTAAGCTGCTAGATCTGGGATTTGAACTGTGCAGTTAGCCATGTGGGATCCAGCTGCCCTAACCACCGTGCCACCTGCTGGCCCCTGGACCCTGCCACAGAGGAGAGGACAGGTCTGGGGGTGGCAGGCAGTCTGTGAGTGGGTCTTCCTGGTTTTTGTGTCTTTAATGATGTTTTTTCCTATCCTATTTGCTCTACTCCTGCCTGGTCCCAAAGGGTCCCCACCCCCTTCAGAAGGTGTCTGAGTATGGATTCTGCGGTGGCAGCTTACAGCATCATAGATGCCCCTCCCTGTCCCTGGACTCCCAGTAACTAAGGGCAACCTCAGCAGAGCCACTCTCAAGTTACCCCTGTCCCCAACTCTGTCCCCATGCCAGGGCCACTGGAGGAGCCAGGATCCACATCACTTCGGCTCCTTATGTCACACGGGGAAGGGACACATCCTCCATCTAGCACAATAAAGCCCTGCCATTTCCAGGTTTTGGGAGAAGAATCAGCCGGACAACTGGAGACACTCGAATGGGCAGACCGAAGACTGTGTCCACACCCAGGAGAAGTGGAACGACATAGAGTGCGGCTCGTCCTTGCACTGGGTCTGCAAGAAGCCCATGGGTCAGGATGTGGCCTGAGGACGGGCCAGAGCGGAGGGGTCACTCCAAGCCAGTGCCAGACCCTCCTGCTCTGTGACACCTGCAAGCTTTGAACTCGGCTTGTGCTCTGGGGCCTTCCTTGGCCTTTTGTGTTTCCCACCTTGTCCTTCTGTCTGACCCTCTCATTCAGCTCTCCGCATGTGAGCCGCTGGATTCCGGGACCTCTGGGGAAGAGTCCTGTCGTGTCTGCCTCCCCTCGGCAACAGCACAGGCCTGCTGGTTGCCCAGTAAAGGCTCGCGGTGTGAATGGGAGCTTTGCGCCTGCCTGCCCCTGTGATGGCAGCCACCACACTGGCCTCTCCCTGGACTGACTCTCCTTCCCTCAATGTCCCTCTGTCCTGAAGCAAGCATACCTTCACTTAAGGGCATGACGGCTAATAACTTGTAGCCAGTTTGTTAAAGACAGCAGAAGGTTAACATAAACTACAGGGACCAGGGACTTCAAAAGTGCTATGATGTCGCAGGGAGTCCTTGCCACACCTGTCTTTTTCCCTTGGGTTTCCTTTGGGTGTAGATGGGGCTGGAGCTCGATTTCCAGTCCTTTAAAGCACTCCAAAGACCAGTTTTTCTCTCTACCCTGTGGACTAGCCTTGTTTCATCTTTAGACGGCTGTGTTTCAGAGCCACATCTCTGGCTTCAGCCCCTTTCTACAGCCTCCGGTCAGCCTTGCAGGGATTCAGTTTTCTGCCCGCTCCCTACTCACAGGAAGAAGAGAGGAGACTAGTAGTGACAGAGCTGGGCTGGGAGTGGGCAGGGGGTAAGAGGCTGGACGGGCGCAGCGACAGTGAGACAGGAAGAGCAAGTGCCATGTTGCACCACACAGGCCCGTGATTACAGGTAGCAACCACACACTGGATACTTCAAATAGCTACAAGAAAAGATTCGGAATGTTCTCATGCAAAGAGATGATAAACTGGGGCCAGTGAGTGGAGTGGAGGTTAAGACGCTGGATCCCACATGCGTGGTATGAGTCCCAGATCCAGAAGCTTGAAAAACATGCTGGGTGGGTGTGCGTGTGTGCCCCAAATCCTGAGAGGCCGAGAGAGGAGAAAGGACTATGGTGTGGCCTCCCCTCCTGGAGAGTGATTTCTTACTTTCTCTCTCTCTCTCTGTCTCCAGTGAGCACACATGCCCTATGGCAAAAATCTAAAAATAATTTAATTTAATTTTTTTAATTTAAAGAAAAATTTTAAAAAGACAAAAATGGGACCAGTGGATGGTGTAATGGTTACATTGTTGGATTCTCATATAGTTGACTGTGGTTTGAGTCCCAGACCTGGTGACTTTAAACTCACGCCAGGCGTGTGTGTGTGTGTGTGTGTGTGTGTGTGCGTGCCCAAAATCCCAAGAGGAGAAGGGAGGAGAAGGGATTGTGGAGTGGCCACCCCCCTGGGGAGTGATTTCTCACTTTCTGTCTCTCTGTCTCTGTCTCTCCAGTAAGCACATGCACTGTATAGGAAAATTCTCCCTAAAAAAAAATTATGCCTGAGGTGATGAGTATGCTAATTACCCTAATTTGATGATTATATATCATATATGTGTATCAAAACACTAAATACCAGAAATATGAACAATTATTATGTGTCAAAATATTCATTTTATTATTGTTAATTTTTTTTTGAGAGGCGGTATGGCCATGCCACAATATCTTCTTCTCCATTCTCCTCTCGGGATCTTGGACATGCATGCACACATGCCCAACGTGCATTTAAGCTGCCAGATCTGGGGCTCGAACTACGTGGGAATCCAGCAACATAACATTATGCCATCTGCTTGTCCTTCTCCCTGTATTTTTTATCTCAGTTAATCCAGTGGCCATGGAAGGCCTCTCAGAAAGGTGTTCTTCAGTCTTGCCTGGGAAGCAGAAGCTCTGTCACTATTATTTCCCGGGCTGCTGAGACAGAGGGAGGACAGCTCACTGTTTTGTACAGAGATGACCCCAAGTCCCTTGCATTTAGTCTAGCTCTGCAGACCTCTTTGGGCTGATCATAATCATAGTCATACATATTTATGGGGTTAGAATGTGATTGCTCAGCAATAATGGAATCAGAGTAGTTAGCATATCCATCATCTCAACCTTTTAAAATTTTGTGTTATTTATAATTACTCTGAGACATATAGGAAATTTCCTTTTTAAAACTTTTGCTCTAGGGCACATGCACTCGCTGGAGAGACAGAGAGAGAAAAAAAGCAAGAAATTACCCCCTGGGGGTAATTTGGCCATGCTACAATCCCTTCTCTTCCAGTTCCCTCTCAGGATTTTGGGCACACATGCACACACGCCCAGTGTGTTTGAAGTCACTGGATCCTGGACTTGAACCACGGTCGACTGTAAGGGAGTCCAGCAACATAACCAGTATGCCATCTGCTGACCCCATAAATTGTTGTCTGTAGTTACCCTACTGCACTTTGTAACACTAGAAGTTGGTCTGCTTATCTGTAATTTTGTATCCATTCACCAATATCTCTATCAATGCATAAATGATCAGGAAGTCAAATCCAGCAATATATTTTTTAAATACTGTGAACAAATAGGTTTTCATTCAGTAAATACCATTAGATAATTATTAATGTATTATGTTAACAGATATAATAATAAATATTTTTTTGAGAGAGATTTTTGCTATAGGACATGTGCACTCACCAAAGAGAGATAGAGAGACAAGAAAGGGAGAAATCACTCCAAGGGGGGATGGCCACAGTGCAATCCCTTCTCCTCGTCTCCTCTCGGGATCTTGGGCACGCACACACACGCGCCCAGCATGAATTCCAAGCCACCAGGTCCAGGATTCAAACTGTGGTCAACTATGTGGGAGTCCAGTGATATAATCATTATGCTATCTGCTGGTCCCAAAATAATAAAGATTTTTTACTAGAGTTTTGACAGATGCTGCAAGCCCATTTAATCAATATCCATTTCTAATTTTATTTCATTTTCTTTATTCACGGTAGAGTACATGAATACACATGTAGAGTAAAAGACAGAGGGATGCACGCACTCCACAGGCCATGCCATGATCCTCTTCCAGCCTCCAGCCCGTTGGATCCTGGGTACTCACACATGGTCCTCCTGTTTTCATTATCAATCCAGGCAACTCTGCCTGTGGAAGAAACAGAACGGAGAGGTGATGGGGCAGGGAGGGTGAACATGAAGGATTCTTCTTTCTTTCTTTTTTTTTCTTTTTCTTTTTCTTTCTTTCTTTCTTTTTTTTTTTTTTTTTTTTTGCTACAGGGCGTATGCACTTGCCAGAAAGACATAGAGTGACAGAAAGCGAAAAATCACCCCCCAGGGGATGGCCACACCACAATCCCTTCTCCTCCATTCTCCTTTCGGGATCTTGGGCACGCACACACACACATGTGCCCAACATGAGTTTAAGCCACCGGGTCTGGGACCTGAACTGCAGTTGACTACATGGGAGTCGAGTGACATAGGCATTACACCAACTTCTGTTCCCGATGGATCCTTTTTACTGGCATCCCAGGGTCATTTCTCATGCCCAGAGAAGGTTCTGAAAGCTGAAAGTTTCCCAGGAGAGAGGCAGAAGGTGACATTCTCCATAGATTGACTGGAGCCACCTGGGGAGACAGAGTGAAGGCCTCAGTTGACACTGAGGGAAGTGGCCGCTGGTCTTCAAGTGTGCCTGACGGCCCTGCTTCTGCTATGGGACCTCCACACAGCTGCCACACTTTGACCTTGGACTGCTCTGGCGGCAGGCTGTGACAGATGATTGTCACCACATGGGGTGTGTTGCTGACACCCCTTGTGCCCACAGCCTTCTCTCCTAGAGATTTTCTGGCTCTGGTGCGAGGTACAACCCAGTGGAGGCTGAGGTCCTGCACATTGCGATTGAGGAACAGCTTGACTCACATAGGGAGAAGAAGCCACAGACTTAACTGTTGAGAAATAACCTCCCAGGTCTGGTGTTCTGGGGCGGGGAGCCGTTTCTCAGCCATGCCGTTGAACACATTCTGGAGGACGATGTAATGGCATTCTGAGGGTGAGGGGAAGTGCTCATGTCGAGAAATATGTACGTGGGCTTAGTCAGTAGCTTGTAGTAGCCTTGACCAACTCACACCCCAGGCCTTGCTGTGCACTCGGTTCATACAGTACTTATTGCCCTTAGACCGCAGTTCGAGCCCAGGCCCACCCTTCCCCGTAGGCTGACACCATGCCTGCCGGAAAGACCTTCCCCCTCTGTATTGCTCTGACATCTCAGCCAGTCATAAACTCCATCTCTGCTGCCAGCAA